AACTATATTAAGTGAAAGCTAAACAAGCAAAAATTTAAAGACAACAAAAATGGCGTCTCTGGAGTTCTTTTTCTATGCTCTCTTAAGAGATGATGCAATACTTTGGGCAATACAGTAAGAAACCTGAAGGATAATACAATAGTGATTCTTTCTAGGAGATTTCATCATTTTTCTCTTCTTATTATTTTAGTCATTTTAAAGCATAGACTGCAATAATCAATGAGTAATAATGAAATAATACTTAGGATGATGAAAAGAAAAATGAATCAAGAATTGGAAAAATAAGATAACTAAGATTGCAGAGTGTGTCTGAGATTTATAAAAAGGTGTAGTACACCCACATGGTAATTGTAAGATAGGATGAGTTTTACTCCATTAAAAATATAAAAATTTTATTTTTTGGTCTTTGGATTATCTTTAATAAACAATATCAATCCTTAGAAATAGAACTACTCAAAAAATTAACTTGAAAACTAAAATTGGGTTCAGTGGAACCTCATGGTATGCTAAGGGTTGAGAAATTTCTGGGAGAATCCATAACCTCTGTTGAGTGGTCAGTTTGGTGTTTTACACAGTTAAGAACTTTTCCCTTACTTGGATCTTTTATTCTTGTTTTGGATATAGTAACTGCATCTGGGCACATAAGGGAAAATTTCTGGTAGAAAAGTGACATTTAAGCTCATACTTGAAGGCAGGCCAAGATTTAGTCATGGGAAATGGTCTCATAAAAATCCAGCTTGTATTCGTTTGTTTGTTTTTTGTTTTTGTTTTTCGTGAGTCTTTTTGCTGGTCAAGTGAAGCACTGGGAGTGGAGAAGGAACAAAGAAATCTGTAACTGGTTGTGATCAATTAGTTGTACACACCACTGCACTCGGACCAACCAATCCAGCTTGTATTTGAAAGGAAAAAAAAATCAAATGAAACCTTAGCTTTAGCTTTGATCTTGTTATCAAGGTGTGGTCAAATTGTTCGCAATGATCGCTGTAGTAATTTTCTCATTAAAAAACACAGAGATTTTTCCTTTACAAAATAAACATCCCATTTGTTAATGTCAAGTTATAGAATGATTCAGAATATTGGAGAACTGTAAATGTGACCTTATTGATAGAGCTGTAACAAAGTCTTTGTATTGGAAACTAATATAGTTGTATGCATTTGCTATCTATAAGACATTATTTCTGTAATGTATGAAATATGTAATTGGATGAACTCTACCTATCTAATATGGAATTTGTTTTAAAAATACACATTATGTGATGACTTAAGTATTTTTGTTTCCCAGAAAGGAACTCAACTTGTTGCAGAAGCTGTATGGACTGTATGATACTGTAATGAGCAGTATTAGTGGTTATTATGAAATACTTTGGGGAGATGTAGATATTGAAAAAATTAATGCAGAACTGCAGGAATTTCAAAACAGGTGAGTTTCAATTGAGTGAGCTTGCCTTTTTATAATGCCTAACTTCTAAGGATCCTATAGGTATTTCACAAACTAATATATTCCCTGATATATTGCTGTACGTACATAAAATACATATGTATTTCTTCAAAGAAATGTGTAGGTGATTCTTTTTCTCTTTCTTTCTGAAAGGTGTCGTAAACTGCCAAAAGGACTTAAAGACTGGCAAGCTTACTTGGATCTCAAAAAAAGGATTGATGATTTCAGCGAGTCATGTCCTCTGCTGGAAATGATGACCAATAAGGCGATGAAGCAGAGGCACTGGGATCGAATCTCTGAGTTAACTGGAACCCCATTTGACGTGGAATCTGATTCTTTTTGTCTTAGAAATATTATGGAAGCACCGCTTCTTAAAAATAAGGATGACATTGAGGTACATAAGAGTATAAGGTCTTATCAATGATCCATTAAAGAATGTCTCCTTTTTCTTTTCTGAGAATTGTACAGACGTTTTA